TACAGTATTTGAAAAATAATGTGTTTTTTTAACATTAAAGCATGTCAGCATATTCTGTTACACCAAATACACAAAATAATGATCTTTAAAATAGCATCATATGACCCCTTTAAGGCATCATCACCGATCCCCCCCAAAATATAACATTTAGACTATGAAAAACAGGAAGTTAATATTTACTGCTGTATTTAAATTATTTGTGTATTATTATTTAAACCACACTATGGTCAGAGATTTATGTCTCGTGGATGTTACATTTGAGATTTCTTAATCATTAATAATCTCTATTAGACTCATGATGATCAATTCATTATAATTCAATTTTGTGCATTTTCAGACTAATTCTCTGTTTAAGTTAATTGGCACTAAATAACAATTTGTACTAGTCATAAATCACTTTATATGTGCAATGCAACATTATTAAATATTTTAATATGAAATGTTATTAAATGTTGTGTAATGGTGCTTTAAGTATATTTACTTCTTACACTACACTTAAATCTCTGCATAGTGGCTTATGTCTTAAAGTGGTGAGACTAAGTGCAATTGCACATGCTTCATTTTACAGAAAGCTATAGCTATAGCCAACAAAGCTTCACAAGAGGACCAGGCTGGGAATTATGAGGAAGCTGTTAAATCTTATCAACATGCAGTGACATATTTTCTGCATATAATAAAACGTAAGTGCATAAATATGGGGCTAACCTATTTACAACAATGTGCAATGGTCTGATCAAGTTTCTTGTCATTTTCCTGGTAATTTATCCATTTGTTTCCATGCATTTAGGTGAACCACAGGGTAAGGATGGCAATCAGAAGATCAGAGATAAGTGTAAGCAGTATCTAGACAGAGCAGAAGAGCTCCAAGACTATCTTGATAAGAAAGAGGTTACTATAAAATTATCACTGTCTCTTTGTGTATTTATGAATATGTCCAAGCAATTTGGACCACAATAGACAATAGAGTCACACTTTAAAAAAAAAACCTACACTTAAAAAAAACAAACAAACTACAATTTCATATAGATCATGCAAAACCCCATGTCTACAGCAGTGTATTACAGTTTTTTAAACACATGCTGGACATTAAGATGTCTTTGGTCACTAATATAAGTGTTGTCGAATAGTAAAAACACATTTTGACCAACAATTTAACCCACTGCAAGAACACTAACAGTGCTTTGAAGCATGGAGGCAGCATCATTCTGTGGCATGAACTGAACACATGCAGAGGGAAAATTGAGAAACTAAATAAAAATCCTGAAGGGAAACATGCTGCGGTCAGCAAAACCACTGGACACACTGACATAGTTTAAAATCAAATGGAACATTAGAGACGTGGCCTAATGGTATAGCGCAAGTGCTTCAACACATTGTGCTGTTGCACTCATATGGGTGGTGTGAGTCTGAATCTAGCTAGCAACATTTCCTCATCTCATTTCCTCTCATTTACATTTCCTGGAAATAAAAGTGTAGTGGGCTTAGAGATTGCTATACATTACATTACATTATATTATATTATCACCTTTATTTATATGGGACTTTATAAAATACAGATTGTTTCAAAGCAGCTTTACAGTGATAAATAATGTTTCAGTGATGCAAACAGTATTCAGTTTTGCTGTAAAGCAGCTTTAAAAATACAATAGTAAATAGTCATTATTCAGTTTAAGTCCATTGTTTCAGTTTGGTTTAATAATTGTGAAAAGTTCATCAGTTATATCTTGTTTACTGACAGTAGGAAAGGAGTCTCATGAAAATACCAATGAGCTTCGCAAACTGAAATGGTCAGAAAATGAAAATATTTGATTTGTTTTGTGTGATGGTTATGTGTCAGAAAAATAAACAGCAGTAGACTCAGTACATAGCCCTGGGGGTCTCCACAAGCACAAGCAACATGTAGGAGCCCTGTTTTGTGTCCTGACTGTGGTCTGTTGCATATTAAAGGATCCAGTTGCAGACAGAGGTGCTTTGGTCAAAAAAAAAAAGTTTGACCAGGTATGCAATGGTGTCCTGTGGTTTTGCTTGTAAGTGTCTTTGTAGGGGCCTTAAAATGTGCCACTCTTTTAAAAGATGCGAGTAAGTGCAATGTGATTGTGCAATTGAAAAAAATATTTTTTGGCAGAATGTACAGATATTGTTCAATGCTCGTAAATGGAAAAAGATGTTATTGCAGTTAGAGGGTGTACTTAGGGCATTTAACAAGAAGGGCTAAGACGACATGTTAATCAGCAAAACTTTGACCTCTTGATCTCAAGTTCTGGCTGTCTAATAATAACTGGGTGTCTGGGAGGCAGGTGAAGTGGTTGTTCTGTGATTAGACAGTGACGCATTAGATGCTCTTTCACTGTAAAGTATTGTTGTTGAAGTTTATTTTTAGGGTGTTGGCTTTTTTTTTAGGTTTGGTTCTGTTCTTTTTACAAGTAAATGTTTTGTCCTAGCAGTATCATCAGATTATTACAGATACCGAAACTGTTTAGCCATAGCCTCTGGTTAGGTTGTGGGATGCGGGTTGTTTTTTTCAAGGGACCCTGAGGGGCCACTGTATGTCCCTGTAAGATCTTGATGTGTAGCCTATCTCCCAGAGGTGTGGCAATAGAAGTGGCACACAATTTTAAATTCTTTGGTGTGTCACTACACTGATGACTTCACATTTACACTGAACACCATCCTTGGTGAAGCAGACACAACCAACACACTCTTACGGTAATTTCTAACTATTCGTAGAATTGATGGCTATAAAGGTGCAGTCACACTTTTGGTGACATTTCGTGGGCAAAAAAGGTTCATTGCATATTGTCAGTAAATATGAAGCACAGCTCACACAGAAGTCACAAATCTGCATGCATCTTTCACTCTCATGTGAAATTCCAGCTTGCGTGAATTTCTGTTGAGATGACTGGATTACGTCCATGAAATGTTGTCAAGTAGCAGTCATTGTGACTTAATTAGTATGAATTTGTCTGATCTCAGTCGTGCATTTTTGTGCAATCTGCTTATATCGCATTGATGGTTAGGTCTATTGGTGGGGTTAGTGGTGGACCTTCATGCTTACTTTTTTTTTTTTTTAAATCACACATTTCCAGATGAATCACATTATACAAATTCCTACAAAATCACCACTTTGTAAAATAGTTTTCTCATAAGATCGTGTTGCTTCCACTTCCTACTAGGCCTGTCACAATAACAACTTTTTGTTGTGCGATATATTGCCCCAGAAATAATTGCGATAAGCGATATTATTGTAATAAAACCATTTTATGCCACTGAATATATAATCATAATGTAACAATATAATAATGCAAGAAGGCCCTCACACTTCCAAATGACAACAAACTTTTAATTTTTAAGAATATTTAGATCATTGAAATTAAGTATTAAGTAAATATTAGAAACCTTAAAAAACTTAGTTAACATTTTCTAACAAAAAGTGCAAAGTAACAAGTAATAATATTAATAATAATAATAATAATTTATGCATTTAGCATATTTTTTTTAAGTAGAAAAAAAGAAAAATGCACAAAGAACTATGATTTTTCCATCTACAGATTTTTCCCTGACCTTCTTTTCTCTGTAAATTGCACACTATTGCTGAGAAACACAATCACTACTTAGCTGTCCGCATGCACAAAGACACAGATCCCTAAACAAGACCATATCTGCAGATGAAATTTTGTTTGTAGAAGCATTTTTTAAATTTGAACTAGCACCTCATGACTACACCATGTTATGTACGAGAAGCTGCGAAAGACACAAGTGTAATGTACAAAACATAGTGGCATTCATTTTTAAGTAAATATAATGGGCAATATTATTGCGTCACCAAAAATTATTGAGGTCATGTACATATATTGCGCGATAAGTTGATATATTGATTATTGCGACAGGCCTACTTCCTACAGAGATGCAGCTAAACTGAAGAAACCTTAAATCTACCAAATGGACCCTTGTCATCTAAATCCACTGTCTCTATTTAATATTTCTGAGCTACCTATATTTATAGCCCCACAGTAATTTTAAAGTGAAGATTAAAAGCTGTTGGTATTTGTAGTGGTCGTTTTAGAGGATGAGATGAAAATTAAGGGGGCTTGGCTTGGTGATATCAAGTTTTAAAGACAAGCATTTCTTTTTCTTTTTAATAATGTGCATGGATAAAACACAATAAGACCAGGAACTTGTATTAAAAAGGTACAAAGGGTCCATTTTGATTTCATGTTGACTATAAAGGTATTTTTTTAATACTTTTGTCATATATATATCCATTGTCTGTTTGGCTACACTACATTCTATTTTTGTATTCCTTTCATAAATATGTTTTTATTTTTTGTTTACTGTGGTGTCTGGTGTTCACAACATGGTTCTAAGGGAAACAATAGCAACAGATCTGGTTTATTATAGCCTGCCATATTGCAATAGGCTATAATATCTGATAATGTTTAAGCAATGATATGGCTCATGCCTGTCTGTGACCTTTCAGTTTGACAATGGAAACACTTGTTTATAGCTCAGTTATCTCACTGATGACTTCAGACTTTTGGTAGCTATATCACTATAGTAACACACTGGCCTCTTTAGATGTGACTGTGCACATTTCTAGTAGCCTTAAACCAATATAATAATACGGAAGAGACTGGAGTTAGTCACACTTTTTATTACAGTGAGTAATTCTCAGGGTGGGCTGGGAAATATAGTTTGCTGACAGGGTAAGTTGTCATTTTTGGAACCTGTCATTAATATTAAAGGGGTCATATGACAATCAAATGGTTGCAAATGATTTGTACAACATCTGTTTATTTCCGGTCATGCAGTTGTAGTTTTTGATGTTTGGTGGCATCAGCTTGAGAGAATCCTGTTACCTACAGTTATATTGAATATATCAAGTACAATTTTTATTACGCAGGAATTACTTTTTTGTTTTTTTTGTTATTCCTGAAACCGTAAGGGCGCGACAAATGGGCGTGTCTCACACGTATGACGCATGACATTTTTGCAACACGTGAGCGTGAAGGCGGAAGTGACATTCAACGTTTTAATGCGGAAGTGTTTTTTTCCTCTGTTATTCTCCGCTCTCAAAAATAAGTATTGAAGAATCATACATTTACAATCCTCGCTGTTTGTTTGTAAAAACGTGACAGTTTGTTAATACATCGCTGTCTTTATATTTCCGAAACGCCGTTCGTTTTTGATTTTTTCAGCCCCTATGGCTGCCAACAACAACTTGCAGGTAAGTTGGAAACAAATAGAGTTTATCAGACCGACGGCAAGAACGTTAACTTATGGATTTACTTAAGATAAATATTACGTTTTATCGTATCTGTAAATTCATATACTTGAAGGTTTTTGTTGTAAATATAAAGAAATGGTCGCCTATCTCTTGCTAGCACCCTCGTGTTTTCTTTAACTTCTGTCATTTAATCTAAATATACTAACAAACCATGATGGTCGTAATCACTCTTGGTTGTATGTGAGATTATAAATGTTATTTTGAATGTTAAGGGGTTGATCATTGTTTAGTTTGAAGTTTAGCTCTGCCTTTTGTTTTGTGCTCATGAATACAGTTGTAGTACATCTATTACAATTTGGCTCATTGTTCTGGTCTCTTAAGCATTATAGTTTTTCTGTGGTGAACAGATGTCACATTTATCATTTTTTTGTTTGAGGATTAAAGTGTGATGAAGTCTTATTTATGTGCTTTCATGCAACTGACTGAAATTCCCTCACACTGTCCTTATGACAGTAAAACTGGATTAATTAGTTAATAGCTACATTGCATTTTCTGAAATAACGCTATGATGTTTTCCTCTCAGAAAGCTATAGATCTGGCCAGTAAGGCAGCTCAGGAGGATAAGGCGGAAAACTATGAAGAGGCCCTGCGTCTATATCAACATGCTGTTCAATATTTCTTGCATGTTGTCAAATGTAAGTATGCAGCAGAAATCTGTTTATATCTGTCCATAAAAAAAGAAAGATTTTAGCAATAGAAACAGACAAACATTCAAGTCCCCATGAAATCAAAATTAAAGTTTTTTGGGTGTTAGTATCAATATGTTAGTCTTAAGGTGATCTATAAGGCAGTGTGCTCCAAAACAGTGACTAAATTCGCATTTAGAAGATATAAGCATTCAAAGCTGGCAGTTCGTCACTTCCGCCAAAACGGCTCAACGATTTTTTTGACGTCACATCGTACTTCAGCGTCTCATCAAACTTTCTGTCCAATCAAATGCTCTCTAGAATCTGAAGCCCCGCCCCCTACACTATAAAATAGACACTGAAGCGTAGTGCACTATATAGGGGACAGTGAACGATTCAAAAAGTGTAAATATGCTTTCCATTGAGGGGAAAAAAAGAAGTCTGGTTTGGAGCTGTGTCACGCTAACCACCGCACCGCACACACAGAGACATGTCCAGAGACACGATAGCACGGAGCGGATCACATGCGCGAGTCGGCGCAGACCACTCGGCTGCACGATTAATCGCAAGCGACTAGAATCTGAAGCCCCGCCCCCTACACTATAAAATAGACACTGAAGCGTAGTGCACTATATAGGGGACAGTGAACGATTCAAAAAGTGTAAATATGCTTTCCATTGAGGGGAAAAAAAGAAGTCTGGTTTGGAGCTGTGTCACGCTAACCACCGCACCGCACACACAGAGACATGTCCAGAGACACGATAGCACGGAGCGGATCACATGCGCGAGTCGGCGCAGACCACTCGGCTGCACGATTAATCGCAAGCGATTGTCATGCCCATTTTGATAGTAATGCCGGTTCTGTAATCAGCAGGAAATCATCATCACGTGCTTTCAGATGGAGCAGAATTTACTACACATAGCCGTAGTTCACTGACAAGATACGCAAAAAAATCGCTTTTATTGAGCGATTCTGAAATCGTTTGCGATAATGACCGCTGTTTGCACAGCTTCTCAGTGAACTCCGGCTCTGTGAAGTAAATGCTGCTCCATCTGAAAGCACGTGAAAATACCACATTTAATAACATATGTTTACTTCGAACGCACTTCATAACGTCAGTCGAGTGTTTGAAATAAATCCTTCTGTGAGATGACGTGGCTTCTTACACAGAATAAGGCACGCAACATATTTCGTAGTATTTAAAGCAGTGATAAAGGCATTGCATTATAAATATACTTTATTTTAATGAAAACTATAATAATAAGAACTTAGATAAACCGTATATTGCCGTAGTCATGTGTTTATTAGTCACGCTGAATCAATGAAAGCAGTTGAATCTTCTGTTTATTCAGCTGCAGCGATAGGCATTTTCTGGGTTTCTTCTGCGAGGCGTATTTGGAGTTTCTCTGGCCTTCAGATGGAGATTTACTGCTGATCACAGAACTGTGCTTCACTGAAAGATACGCATGACAATCGCAGCTTCTGTCGAATCGCGATCTCGATTCCATTTCGATTTATCGTGCAGCCCTAATCGGAGCTATTTGTACACAGAATGCTATATTTTATAGCAATATGGATGAGATTGTGGCTGGCATACCCTGTCAAATGCAGCTTTACGGAGCTCAACGGCTCTAGCCCAAGCTGTGATATAAACGAACGCTATTGGCTATTTTAAAAAGGGGCGGGGCTGCTTGATATGTCCCGCCCTGTCTTCCTGTTTCAGTTAAAATGACGTCAACACACTGAGTGTTTCTAAGCATTTCAGGGGACCTTTAAGCATATGATTTCTATTTTACTATTTGTTTGTAGTTTGCTAAATGTTTATATATATATATTGCTGTAGCGTTACATATGTTCTAATTAGAGTGGTAATTTATCAGTATGTTAATGAGAAGGCACTGCAGCATTTGGCACAAGAGTGGCAGCTTTCAGTCGCCTCTATACATTTAACTATGTCTTTTTTGTAAAGATGAAGCACAGGGTGATAAGGCCAAACAAAGCATTCGGGCCAAATGTGCCGAATATCTAGACCGGGCTGAGAAGCTGAAAGAATACTTGAAGAAGAAAGAGAAAGCCCCAGCGAAACCAGTGAAGGAGTCTCAGTCCAGTGACAAAGGGTAGGTGCTGGTGATTAGTAGTTAGTTGGATAAATACAAACATACACATACATTCAGTTGAAACGTGTGCTTGATTTCTGTGAATCAAAATGAATTAATTGCTAGTTGTTTTTGAACACAATACTGCTTAAAAAATAAATCTAACCTGGCTCTGATGGACACTAATAATACACAGGACTTGATCATTCTGATAGCCCTTATTTGAAAATGCATATTCCTAACTGCTAGCATGTTAGGAATATGCTTGTCTCATGTCTATGCAAAGACGTGTTAGCAACTGAGACTGTGAACTTCCCCCTTTGCTGTTGTGCTATTTATATAACCAATCATTAGTTTAGGGTTGGTTAGATTTTTACAGTAAAACAGTAATACTGTGAAAGAATATTACAATTTAAAATATTTCCTTTTCAGCATCATTACTGCAGTCTTCCTTCAGAAATCATTCTAATATGATGATTTACTGCTCAAGAAACATTTCTGATTGTTAGCAATGTTGAAAACAGTTTCAGTCATACATTTAATTTCAGGTTTCTTTGACTTTAAAAGAAAGCCATCATTTGAAATAAGTATTTTGTTACGTTATATATGCATTTACTGTCACATTTGATCAATTGAATGCAACCTTGCTGAATAAAAGTTTTAGTTAAAAATGTGTATTTTTAACCATAGGAATGAAAGTGATGGAGAAGGAGAAGATCCAGAGAAAAAGAAATTTCAAAATCAACTCTCAGGTAAGTGATTCCCCATCCAGACACTGTCTTCTAATGGAACGATTGTGCTTTTTTTTTTTTTTTGTATTTTTTTAATCAATTCAGTTAAATTTTTTTAGTATGTTTTATTACTCGTAGTCTAAAGTAATACTAAGAAAAACAGTACCGTTTTGGTAACACGTTTGATGTTTTTTTTAGTTTTAATCCAAAGAAATCTGAATCTGATTGACTGATCTATTATCACAGGAGCCATTGTCATGGAGAAGCCAAACATTAAATGGAACGATGTTGCCGGGTTGGAAGGGGCCAAAGAGGCTTTGAAAGAAGCTGTCATTCTGCCAATCAAATTCCCACATCTCTTCACAGGCAAGTGGCTATATCGGTATCAACCAATGGGCACTGCTTTCGTATATCGCTCAGAGTATTCAGTGATCAGCAGTGCCAGTATGGAAATATCAAAACTGCAACTGAACCATTACCCTGTAAAAAGAAACTGTTGAAAGAAGACCTCTAATAATGCAAATAGTTTCTGTCTCAGGTAAAAGAACTCCCTGGAGGGGCATCCTTCTCTTCGGGCCTCCTGGAACAGGCAAATCTTACCTGGCCAAAGCGGTAGCGACAGAAGCCAACAATTCCACCTTCTTTTCCATCTCCTCCTCAGACCTGGTATCCAAGTGGCTGGGAGAGAGTGAAAAGTGAGTCTTGTGAGGAATGCTGCCGGTTACCTTTACCTGTTTTAGCAGTTTAAGTTTCTTTCCAGTGTCTTTCTTGCTTACTCTTTGCTCCTTTTATTTTTGTATTTTTCTCAGATTTTAATTTCAGCAGATAAGCACAACGTTCAAATAAAAACATTTTGGCCTCAGTACAACACATTTTTGGCAATCAACAAAGTGAACATATGAATTATGTTTAACGAAATATGTTTTATTAAAATTTGCTATTGAAGGTGAATAGTGCAGGCATTTCTAAATCAACAGGCCACAATCAGTAAACAATACTGTAGCATAGGGATGGGGGTAAATGTTGATTCAGAAATTCATAATCATAAATGTTAAATTAGCTGTTAATATTTCGGTTTATTTACAAAGCGTATGCTGTACAAAATAATGGAGATATTGTGCAACAATGCAGAAACTGCATTGGAGTGTGCACTGGCAGCTGTGGTTTTTGTGCAAATCATTATATACAGGAGCTTTCAGATTTGTTTTTTTTTTGCAGGTTGCGTCATGCTCTGGTTGACATTTAAAGGGGTAGTTCGTGCAAAATTGAAATTTCTGTCATCATTTACTCACCCTTCACTTGTTCCAAACCTGAGTTTCTTTCTTCTGTTGAACACAAAAGAAGATATTTTAAAGAACGTTGGTAACCAAACAATTGCTGGTAGGCATTGACTTCCATGGTATTTTTTTCTTCCTTACTTTGAACGTCAATGGGGACCATCAATTATTTGGTTACACACATTCTTGTAAATCTTCATATGTGGTCAAAAGAAATTCATACAGGTTTGGAACAAGTAGAGGGTGAGTAAGTAATGACAGAATTTTCATTTTTGCATTAACTATTCATTTAAAGTGACCGTGATTTGTCATTTCATTTACATAGAATGCAAGTCAACTTAATGTCAACTTTATATTTCCAGACCTATTTAAAGGGGTCATATGATGCGATTTCAATTTTTCCTTTCTCTTTGGAGTGTTACAAGCTCTTGGTGCATAAAGAAGATCTGTAAAGTTGCAAAGACTAAAATCTCAAATCCAAAGAGATATTCTTTATAAAAGTTAAGAGTCAGCCACACCCCCCTAAAACGGCTCGTTCTAACACGCCCCCACATGTCTATGTCACTATGTGGGAAGATTTGCATAACGCCACTCAAATGTTCACGCAAAGAAAGAAGGCGTAACTTTTATTCTCGCTGTATTGTTGCCGTAGCCGCCATGTCGTGAAGGCACTGTTTGTTTCGTTGTGAAAGCGAAACTACTTTGTTTGGCCTTCCAAAAGAGGATGATATGGCTTCGTCATGCCTGGAGCTGATCCGTGCTGGTTGCTGAGGAAATATATCAACTTTGCGCTGTGGATCGCCGGATC